AACCCACTCCTGTAAATCATCCCTAATTTGTTAGATTAGGTTGTTGAAACCCATTGACCAAAGCCACAGACTTGTATTTTCTGCCTGAATAAGTATTCAAAATGATAAACACAGGCCTGAAAATGTCTAAGTTCAGTTATCTGTGCCAGTTATATTCCAGGTTTCGCACAGTGGTAAACGCGTGTCATGAAAACATTTCCACAAAGTCATTTTTCAGATTTGCTAGAAAGAATAATATCCTTCCTTGATAGAATTTTAAACGAGCACACATAAACTAAAGATGGTTTGTATTTTTCCCTTACAGATACTGAAAAAAAATCACAAGAGCTGTTTGGCTATAAATATGCCATTGCATAAGCACATTAATGTGATACAGTCACACTATTTTGTTTGCTGTTCCCAAGAGGCGTATTACACAAGGATAGGCTTCTCAAACTTCAGCAGCAGTAGCTGTGAAGAAGCACAAATACTGAAACAGAAATAATGTATCAGACATAGCTAGGCCTTGCAGAGTCAAATTCTGCTCATTTGCATTATGAAAATGTGTAACACCATAAATATCCCCAAATCAACCAAGTAACTAAATTTGTATCACTGTAAAGGACAGCACAATTTGACCTACAGGTACTGTATTTTTTACTGAAGGGAAAATAATAAGTACTTGTGGGCTGTCTGCTGCTGTTGTTGTTTATAATAAGACAGTTTGTCATTGCTGCAAGACGAATACTTTGATACTTCTCAAAGCGCAGTTCATGGCTGTGTAAGGGAACAACATTCTTTAAATGTTATTACAGAATATGTAAAATCTGAGCAATTCTCTTATAACTATCTGCTGGCTCTACAAAAAATAATACCTTCAGGCAGTGAGGAAAAGGAACTTTATTAAAAAATTCATCAAAGAAATGAATAGTAAGCTTAGAGGAAAACAGAGGGGCTCAAGACAATATGGCATTGCATTATCCTTTAGACCTACACAGATATAAACCTGTAAAAGGTTTTGACTTCATAAGTACTGTATAGTTCAATGCAATGTCAAGTGCTGCTAAGTGTCTTTGGAAGTATGATCATATTCTGTTCTTCAAAGGGCATTTTATGAAACGCATCTACACATACACATTTGTTACTGCACCTTCTTTTTTGAAATATGGGAGAAGTGGGGAGGTGTGGGGGGAAACAAAAGTGAGGCTCAAAATATTGATTCCTGAAAGACCTGAGATTTCTGAATCAAATAGATCAAAAGAGGTTTGAAATGGGATATACTACCTTTAACGCCTTTGACAACATGGAGCCTAATCCTTAGGCAAAGCAGCTGCTGTTAATAATGGTTAAAAATAATTCCACTACTTAATCCCCAACTGTGAAATGAGTCGGTACTTCTAGACAAGTTATTAAGGGGTGCATCTGAACCTCAGAAGGAAACTTCCATCCCCCAAAGCATTCTTGGTTGTGTCAGACTAGTCCTTTGCCCAGAGGGCTTTCCCTGAAGAACAGGGATTGGCCTACATAGGTGGGCAAACTTCAGCTGCTGGGTTTTGCCATATTCATGGCAGGTAAATAGTTCTCTTTCTCCAGAACTGTTGATTTTGACACAAATATCCTTCATGATTTCATTAAAAAGTTCTGAAAGTAAGTGCAATTTGATACATTAGATTTTATACTGTAAACAATGTAGAAAACTACTTGTGAAAAGCTCTACCCTACTTAGACAACATCTTTGTGCTCTTCATCAGCATGGAGATTTGACTTAGAAATTGTAATGCTAATTCAGTTCTTCATAATTATGACTATTAGGTTTTAAATAATTCATTCTCCCTCCCCACTGGATTACATACTTCAAAAAGTATGCTTTGCTAAAATTACATGCTATTGGATCTGGTAGCTTACAGAACTTGCTCATAATGCATATGAGACTATGGTCTACTTTCCTGAGAACCATTTAAAATATTTCTGTAAAATACACTGCTATGATTCAGACCCTTGAGGGAGCAATAGGCATAATTGGTTACAGTTTCTGCTTTTCACTTGCATAATTTAACTGACTTCTTTGTCCCTCAAGTATAATGAAGGTGCTTTTCAAGCTCAACTGGGGTGTAGCTTAGCACTGGAAACATCTACTAGAAAAATAAGGCAGACTTGTGATACAAATGAGAACAACATGAAGGGACAGTGGCAGCTTACACACCACACATAATGTAAGGTAGCTCAACCCATCAGAATTTGATAGACAATCCTGTGTCATAACACCACTAAACTCAATAACCATCCCTAATCCATCTCTGAAGGATAGGTCCAAGGTTACACTCAGGATCAAGCTTGTCCGTCTATTCTCCAGACATCCTCCAACTGTGCTCCTTCAGTGACTACTCCAGCATGCTTCCATATGAGATTTTGTGTGTCTCAGCATTGCCAGGAATGCCTCATATTAGCAGTTTATAGGCTCTTCATAAGTAGTTTGTGAAACACCATGTGAAGAAAAGTGTGAGGACAGCAAAGCACTCAGACATGTTAAGTGCCACATGCTTCACTCACTGCAAATCATGCTGGTAGCAGAGTACCATGGTCTCCTCTCTCGCATCTCAACTGACAAGCATTGCTGGTCAGTCTATCAAAGTTCCCAATGTTCAGCTTCTCATACATTGGATCAAAACCAATATACGGGAAGTAAGAGCTGGTCATACTTATGGTTGATTGCTTTGGACACTGCTCTTGTAAGATCAACAGAAACACAGCCCAGTTCAACATATAGCTTATAATTAGATTTTACAAGCTAGTGGCCATTCCAAATAGGTACTCAGCAGAAAACAGAGAAACATCATATGAGTTTGTTCGCTAACAAATGGAGTCTAGATGCTCAGCTTGAGATAAAGCTGCAGATCCATTCCTGAAACAGATGGGAGGGTCTCCTTTATTACTTGTACTCCACATTTGATTACTGTTAACCCTATATGGAAGTCACTGCGGTGAGTATGCAAAATGTACACATAGCAATGCTAATTAGTATTATATGTGAGCATTTAAATTAACTAATCATTCATTATATGTTCTCACAGGCTCACCAGTGCACAAAATTTGCCTCTCGTTTACTATTTCTTACTTGTCTCAGGGCACGATGGTACTAATTATCTTGGGTTACTTCAAGTGCCTCATTCTGGATCTGAAGATCTCACACTCTTACACATCTTCAGTGCAAAGAGGACAGCTTCTTTTTCTGTGTACAGCCATTAAATAGGTTGTCATTTGCATCTCTTCTAAAGCCTACTCCCAGTGTCTGGGAACATTCATTATAAAAATGCAGGCTGCATTTCTCTTAAAACAGTTAAAATGGCAAATATCATTATAGATTTTTTCAAGTAAATAGAATTTACACATCAGCTGGCACCACAAGAGGCCCTTAATTTTTTTATCACTTTTTTGCAATTAACTGCTTACATGCTCAAAGAATTCATATTTATACAGAGACCCACGTATCTTCAAAACCCCAGTTCCCTTTGATCTGAGCTTCTGTCGTTCCTACTTTCATGGATAAAAAAGATGATAGCTCTTAGTACAGAGCTGACAAGAGCTTTAGAAATCCAGCACTCAGAAATTCAGATACATTCATCTGTAACATTCACATGAGTGGTGTTCATAACACGAGCTCATCATTCGCCCGGTGTGGGGAATCCTATTTGAACACCTCTGGAAGTGTCAGCTTCTCTCCAGCAAATCTCTCCCCTGGCCAGCTGGCTGCTGACCTTGTGGAATGTACTAGCTCAGCAGAGCAGGGGCTGAGCTGCTCTAATTCCCTCTCTCTGGAGCTTTTCTTTCCCACCAGAGGACATCTACTGTGAGCACACAACTGTCTTCAGAGGAATTGAAAATATATTTATTTTGTACTAGATAAATGAACTGACTCAAATGCCAAGATTTTGTACTCGATTCTATTCAAAGGGGCTATTAATTCATCCTGGTGCTCACTGGGTAAATTATTCCACTTGCTACAAAAGCAGTTGGTTTAGCATACTTTTGTTTGACTTTGCAGAGTGCTGGATGCGCAGTGCTTTTGAATAAGGCCATTCATTTATTTCGCTACTGAGCTAGCTGGTGGTACTGTGCTGGTATTCACCCTCATCTCTGAATACCATGGAAATAGTTACTCCCCAGGTTCTCAGCTTTTCAAATCTTACACCTAACATTTTAATGTAAATAGGAGTCATTAAAGCTATTGCAGAAATACGTGGCTGCAGTGGTAATTTAAGTGAATTGCATGGAACTAGGTGTAGGTAATACGCTGTAAGGGGAAGAGGAAGCAGCAAAGGAGACTGCCAGGGTGGTGAGGGATCTCCGAGGATAACTGAGGTCCAAAGAATGGGTGGAATACGGCACGATTTGAAATGTAATTATAGATTATAAGCAGGGAAGGGAAAGTGTAGCTAGAAGAAGGAAGCAGGAAAAAATAAAAACAACACAAAAAAAAACCAAGGGAAAAATGAAAAAAATAAACAGAGAACTGTTCCCTCAGCGCACACGGGAGGCACTCCCTGGGATCAGCACTCCAACGGCACTCCAACGACTCTCGGTCCCCAGGACTGAACCCGCTACTGCCCAGAGCAGATCTGAGAGGCCCGCTGGCACAGGCTGGCACAGGGGCCTCTCCTCGGCCTCGGCTTAGCCGCCCTTGCCCTCTGCGGCTAGCAGCTGCCCTAGGGCAGAGGCCTGAGATGGTGGCGGGAGGAACAGAAGGCGCGGGTCGCGGGGACACCAGTGTGGGCCTGCCGGGCTGCCGAAGGGCGTGGCGGGCGGACTACGTTTCCCGGCGTGCCCATGGCGGCCTTAGGGTGGTGCGAGCGGAGGGGAAAGGCGCAGCGACCGGAGGCATAACATGGGCGCCTGAAGCCGGGCTGAGGTAGGGAGGGTTTTCCTTTGGGCTGGGGGTGTTGCGGGACGCGCTCCGTGGGGCGAGGCCGGGCCGAGGGGCGGGCCGGGCAGGGCCGGGCATGCCGGAGGAGGAGGGCTGGGGGATCGGGGCGGGGGCCGGTTGCGGCTGGGGCCGGGTGTTCCTCCCAGCTGTCGCCGGGGGCTGGTTGCGTATGGCCCGGCGCGGCTCAGCCACTCTCCCGTGCAGTCGGCTGCAGGTGCCGCGGCGAGGAAGGCAGAGCTGAGCCCGGCCCACCGCAAGGGGCCCGGCGGCCGAGCAGCAGCAGGAGGCGGCGGGCGGTGAGCGGACAGGACGGGGACATGGCGGAGACCGGCTCCGTGCACGCCACCAGGTTCGAGGCGGCCGTGAAGGTGATACAGAGCCTGCCCAAAAATGGTACGTGCGGCGGGGGGCGGCCGGGGCACCGGCGCGGGCCTGGCCGCCCGGCTGGCACTTGCGCGGCGGGCGGAGCCCGGGAGCGGTGAGCCCCGTCTCCTGCTTCCTCCGGGATAGGGGCGGCGGCGCGGCCCTCCCCGCCAGGCGGCTCAGGCTAGGGCAGCAGGGCCGCCGGGTGCCTGTCAGGAGGTGGCGGCTTGGAAACCTCGGTCTGAGAGCTGCGCCCGTCTCTCCTTGAAGAAACCCCGGCTCGGGGGCTTCAGGGCCCTCGTGGGTGCCCGGAAGAGGGGGCTGTCAGCTGCCCGGGTGCGGTGCGGGGAGCGCAGGGGAAGGGTCTCAGCCTTCGTGAAAGCCTCAAGTTGGTTTGACCGGTTCAGAGCTGTTACCAGGAGTGTCCTCTGCTGAAAGAGTTAACTGAAAAGCAAAACAATCAATGTCTTTTTGATAAGAGTAATGAAGATAATAATAATAATAAAAGTTGGTTGTTGGGTACGTCATTATTCTGGTGGAAGTAAAACTGGGTTTGTTGAGGTATGAAGGGTAAAGGTCACTGTAAATTTCTCCCAATTAGTAGAACTGAACCTGAAAGTATTTGATTTAATGGACTGATTATGTATCTTCCCTGCTAGCTGTTAGAGTTTTGTATCTACGTCTTCTACCTCTACACAAGTGTGTTCCACAAAGGAAGAAGAGAAAAAAGTGGGAAGTGGAACTGTTACTGAAAGTGCTATCAAACCCCAAATAATAAAAGCACGGTAGAAGGCTGTGGTTTGGGTTTGTTTTGTTGTTAGTTTGTTTAAAGTTCTGGAGTCTTTCCATAAGTTTCTGTTTGTAACAGTAAAATGACTTACAAGATACTTTTTTTTACACATCCCTTTAAACTGAGTGAAAGGACACTTGCTTCGTGGTACTTACTACTCTCTTTTTATTTTAATTGTGGATTCTGACCTTAGGAGCAGTAAAGGTTATAGTCCCCTAAACTCAATCTGCAACTTGCTGTTTGTGAAGTAAATAGTGGTGCTGATTCATGGTAGATGAAGTGAAAGCTTCATCTTTGACTTAAATTGCACTGCTGTGACTCAGGCTGTAACAAACTGCAGGCTATTTTCTCACAGAAAAGCTAAGCTTGTAAAATACTTGTGAATATTCTTGATTACAATTTAATTGTATTTCAAAATGCCTTCACTAGGTTCATTCCAGCCAACGAATGAAATGATGCTCAAGTTCTATAGCTTTTATAAGCAAGCAACCCAAGGACCCTGTAACATTCCACGACCTGGATTTTGGGATCCGATTGGTAGATATAAATGGTAACTTTTCTTGAGTTATTGTTTTGTGGTGTTGTTTGTTTGTGGGGTTTTTGGTGTGGGAGGGGTTTTGGTTTTCTTTTCTGTTTGTGTTTGGGGGGGGTGTTTTGGTTTTCTGTTAATGCTTCAAGTGGAGATATTTAGCAGAGTGGCACTTGGAGAAAGTGTGTAGTGAGTTTATTTCTCTCTTAAAGAATGACCACAACCTTTGATGCTTGAATTAATATTCTGTCTTGTGTTACAACTTTCTTGCCCAGATAACTTATAATTTCTCAGAGCTGCAGGTGAGAACAGTCCCTTGGGTTCTGCAGGTGGGCAGGTTTTGCTTGGGCAAGCACCATCACAGTATTTCTGCATGTTTATCCCATGTTGTAGAATGAAATTGTAGGTGCTCTGCAGAATGAGTGATGTAGATGAGTCTGGAATTCTTCCTTCTCTAGTTTTCATGTGTCATGTGAGCCTGAAATAAGTGTGAGCTCATTGACAGCAAATAATATAGCTTCAAGCTCCTGGGAAGAGGTCTGGTTTGTCTGGTTTGTTTGTCTTTCTGTGGTAGCTCAGTGGTAGGGCTTCACACTGTGTTTTCCTTGTGCTGAGAAGCTTTTGATGCACCAGATTGCTGAGATCTGTTTGAAAAGCCACCTGAATGCTTCACTTATTATATTTTAGTAAAGACTTATCCTGGAAGTATCACTGCTGTCTTTATGGTCATGGTTATCTTGTCTTGGGGTCTGTGAAATGATTTGTTTGACTTCCCTCACCCAGCTGTCCTCCTCACCCAGCTGTCCTCCCCACCCCTTTTTCTTGCCTTCCTTTCTTCCCCAGGTCAAGTTAAAGGGTCTGTCTTTGTAGAGGACTAGGGCAGTAAGCTTCCTGGAACCTGGCTGGTTGTAGCTGAAACATGAGCCACCAACCTTGGAGTTTTGCTCTAAGTGGGACAAATACTTTGGCAAGAGGGAGGGAGAGTGACAAATCAAGTGCAAGACTGAGTATGGAAATGTTTTATTCCAGTCTCTGTTCTGACATATTCCTTGTGCAATACAGATAAATCGGATTTGAGCTTTCTGTGTTGCAGACTTGGAGAGCAGGAGATTTTTTAGGTCATAAGTAGCTACTGTGGTAACTGGGAACGAGGGCTAAACTGTTCTAACTTGCTGACAGCCGTTTGCAAGTGGTGGCTGAAGTGTCTGTGCCTGCTCTTTTTCTGCAGCAGAGAGTCTTAAAAAAATCCAGTTGATCAAAAGGGAAATGTGTGTGTCCTGTATCTGGGCTTGTTAACAGCTTACCGTGTACAAGATGATAGTTGGTTAGAGAGGAGCTCTTCAATCCCTAGGCTGTTCAGTTTGTTGCATCTCTGTTGATGTACCACTATGTGATTATCCTCACAAATTATATACTTGGACTTAAAAATGTGAATTGTTGTTGCATTTTACTTGTATCAGAGGAACTTTGGGCATTACGTAACTGACCTACTTAAGGCCAGGCCTAAAAAAAATCCAGTAGGCCCTGGAGATAGTGAAGATGTATGCGGCTTTCTTTCCTAGGGATGCTTGGAGTGCCTTGGGAGACATGTCCAAAGAAGAAGCCATGATAGCCTATGTTGAAGAAATGAAAAAGGTAAGTTTATTAATGAGTGGGAGGGATCTTCTAGAACAAATATTCCAGCAATAAATTAGGGAACATGAGGGGGTTCTTGCTGACTGCTACTGTCAAAGCTCCAAATGAGTTATTCCTTATGTGAACCATTATGTTTCAGTACTATGCTGTCTGGCCCACAGGGAGAAGAAAATTGGGTAGCTCCTTCCAAAGCTGTAGAATTTTAGTTGTTTTCAGAGAAACAGGAGAGCTCTAGCTGATAGGAAGCTTAAATGAAAGAGCTAAAGAAAGGTAAATCATGGTAAAGGGAGCAGTGGGGTAAACAGTGGGACTTAAAGTACAACAAAAGAAAAGTTGATTTCCTGCAAACTGCCTCAGCTCTTAGAGTTGAGAGAGAGGTAATTGATCCTTAGCTTAGAAAGGAAAAAACAGCCTTCCAGAAGGACTTCAGGATCAAGAGTCTCACTGTCATGACTGGAGGCATGAGTATAACCAAATGGGTAATCTTTGATTTATTTTTTTAATTACTTTTTCCAAGAAGAACTCAGCAACCTGAATTTTCTGTACTTGTCATGAAACTGTTCCTTGTATATAATAGTTCTAATTATTATATACATGCATATATGTGATTGCAACTGAGTAGTTTGGCCTGTCCTTTTTGGAACAGATGTGTAATGCAAACAGTCATAGTTATTAAGCAGGAACTGCAGCATTAGCTGAAATAAACATTCAGAATTAAAGTAACTGTCTTTTATTAACTAACTCTTCACTGCAGTATTTTCACTGAAGCTCTTCTAGGTGGCCTTTCCAGTTTAAAGATTGTTTACTGTCAATCCAGATAAAAGTATCATTGTAATGTATTATTGTAATGAGGTTAGCATCAGGGGGGAAATGTAAGTTCTACTCCAAAGACACTTGCTTTTCTCCTGGGCCACTATCTTGACATTGATCTCTTAACATGTCTAATGATTATACAACAAAAACTTCTACTAGGCATGGAAATGGAGCCTGACTACTGTTCTTCTTCCTGTTTGCAATTTTGATAATTTAGTTCCCAGTGGTGTTAATGTAGTTGCTTTAAAATGAGAAATAACGCCAAAAAACACAGAAAGACAAATATTCATCTGGTCAAAAATCCCACTAAATTTTAGTAGTTCTGTTTGAATGTGTACTACAAGATTTAGTACTTTACTTTAAATCTTCGGCTCAAAATGCATTAATAAGTAGAGAACCTTATTTTTTTGGTGCAGCTCATTGCATTGCATTGATTTTGTCAGGACATTAAAACTTAAGTGAAACTGCAATGTTTGTTGTAAAAAAGCCTTCTTGGAAGCCTCCTGTGAGGAAGTGTACTCAGTTGACCCTAATAAAGCACAAATATTCCGCCTCTGAACAGGTTATATGTAGGGACTGGAGAGTAAATGGCTTCTTGGCTCACTCCGCTTTGAAACTGGGGAATCTGTTTACCCTGCTGTGGTGCTGTTTCAGCTCTCACGCGGGTAATACTAGCTTCAGCTTTTCCAACCCAATTGATTCTACTTGAAATGTCCATGGAAGTGCATTTCAAATGGATCCACTGGGTTGTTTTATCAGCACATACTGCACTAATCCTTGCGGTGTTACTGTGGGCGTTCTGCTGTTGCTGCATAGGTATCAGTGTCTAAGGGGGCAAAACCCCACTTGTATACTGATAATACAGGACTGTGTTTAAGGGTGTATACGATTGTCATATTTCCCCCCTGCCCCTTGGGCATGTCCCTACCATTTGCACATCATGGTTGGGCTACACATGCTTAAAATGATCCTGTCACAAAATACTTTTTATTATAAACTTGTTTGTGGGATTTATTTTTTTTGGCTAGTTTTTTCCCTTCATGTGATAGCCTTGAAAATGGCAGCTGTTGAGGAATGCGTCTAGGTGAGGTTTTGAGGTGCTGGTGGGAGATGACCAAATGTGTCTTGGTCTTAGCTAAGAGCTCAGGTGGATTTTGTTTAAGGTTAATTTAACTTCCAAGTAGCATTTCTGAAATTTGATATTGAAATGCTGTTTAATTGATTTACATTTCAGATATCTTGGTTCATTTTATATTAAAAATGAGTGATACCTTGGCATAAAGAAGAGTTAAGACTATATGGTGTTTTTAATTTAAAACGTCTTCATATATATATTGTCTGACATCCAAAGAGAACAGTAATAAGGACTTTCAAATTTTAAGATTGCATATTATGCCTAGTGGCTATATAAGTAAGCAACTGGTTTTGTTTGTGGAAGTATTTGCTCTTTTTCTTGCTCACCTAGAAGCTAGCAATTACAAAACTCTAGCAGAAACTGTGTGGTAAGGCTCAAAGAATTGCTCCAAGATTATATTGAAGTGTGGTTAGACGAAGAGCAGTTATTTGTGGGCATCATGGAAATAACATGTATGAAACAATTTACAGTGCAGACTATAGAAGTAAATACATAGCAAATACAAGTGTTATTCTAGAATAAGCTTCTTGTTTCTCTCAATGTTATTCAAGTAAGAAAAAATAACTAGTTAAAATCACAGAACTGCCCTGGCTCCTGTTTGTATCCAGCTCAGTGTCTCAGCACAGAGCATTTCTCTCTGAAAAATAGAGAACGAATTATATACACTGAATAGATCAGAGAAGTGGCAATGAAACTGCAGATTGATAATGTTATTGTCTCTTGGTATCCTGGATTGGTTTGCAAGTGTTGACTTGTTACCTGTTGACTTAGCGTGCCTGGCACTCCTGCTTTGTGAAGTAATGCTGTAGCTTTTGCTTCTTCTGCTTAGTGATATGCTTGGTGTGTTTGAGCAGCATGTTCTGTGGCAACTTGTATCTCCATCTGTTGCTTTCTTGGTGCTCTTCTGGAGGAGGGGGTGTACTGTATTTGCTTCTACAGAGTCTCTTCCTATAGCTATTACCTCTTTAAAAATAATAATAAAAAGAGAATAAAGGAGGAACAAAGCTATTGGCAAAAAGTTTGGTTAAAAGTACTTTAAAATAGAATTGGACAATAATATCATAGGATCATAGAATGTTTTGTGTTGGAAGATATGCTTTTAAAATAATCCTTATTAAATCTCTTCTATTTAATCTACTTTAGATGTAAGATTTTGTATTCCTGTCAGATGATTGAAGGTATCGGGTTTTTTAACTTAAAGGAATTTTTATTAAAGTAAGAGGTCCAAGTGACTTCAAGAGCAGAACTTGGTTCTAGTTTGCTGCTCTTGGTTCTGGTTTGCTTTTCTGTCTTTGTATCATCCCAGTTTTGCTGTATTCTGTTGGCAAACGCATTAGCTCTGCCATCTTCTCTTCACCTAAGAAAAGCTAATATAGCTAGTTTGGATTCATGTGTGGCAGATTAATTTTATGTTGTTTTCCTTTAATAAAAAAAAGAAAATCAGAATAATGTGGTGATTCAGTGAAATGTTGTACAATGACCAGCAGTTTCTAACATCAGTTGAAATGAATGAATCATGAAATGCTGTTCATATGTTTCATAAGATGCTTCATATTTTGGACTTGTGCAGATTCTTGAGAGTATGCCAATGACGGACACGGTTGAAGAATTACTACAAGTAATAGGCCCGTTCTATGAAATAGTAGAAGATAAAAAGAACAGAGGATCTGACCTAACCTCAGGTTCGGACAAATAACTTCCTTTATATTACTAATAAGCACAACTCCAGATTTTTGGGGGCTTGTTTTCTGGAAATGATTTTAAAGCTAAACGTTGCATCTTTCTGTTCATTCTCTTTACCATATGGCAGTTCGAATGGAGAAAGTCTCTAAGTATTTGGAAGGTAGGAATAATAAATTATGTGTAAGTCCATCTCTTCCATCATTTTGGTGCTGTAGTAACTTCCTGCTAACACCCGTAACTTCTGGGCTTGCCACCTCACTGGATTTTGTTTTATTTCACTTTTGTGGTACAAAATCCAGGTAGACCCAGGAGAAGCTGCATTTTTAGTCCCTGTCTACAGACTCTTTAAGATGCTGATGGGAAGCCTCTTCCCCCTAAAAAAGGAGAGTATTTAAAACAGCTCCCGCAGTCAAATCTAGTTTCTGCTTTTCCATTAGTAAAGGAACAATTAATGTGTACTGCTACATCCTGATGTAGCTGTGGAGTATCAGATCACATGCAGAGTTGGTAATCCAGGTCTGCCATCTGATCTAAAATCTAAAGAAATCCACAATTGAAATCCATGGTTTGGTATGTATTTGAGAAACCATTATTAAAGAACACGAGATGGGTTTGTGAAGTTAAGTATTCTGAGGCTCAAGTTCATGAAGTGCATATCTATTTAAACATTTTAAATCTCTTGACAAGTGGCAAACCCAGTGGTGTCATAGTTGCATAAAAATCAGTGTGGTGATTTTTATGTAGCAATACCATTGTGACAACTTTTTGATAGTAGTTTTTATGTGACAGGTAATATGTTCATAAGGTTGTAATATAAGGCTTACAGTTGTTTAAATCTGGCTTAAAATTACAGTTAAAAGTTGAAATGCAACAAGGTAAAACTTGAAACGGTCTTTAAGAAATGAATCATTGCACAAATTAATTGGTTTGAGGTGCTTAAGTAGTAGGAGTCAACTGGTTAAATTGCCTTTTGGATGTGGCATGCAGCCTACCTTAAAGGAGCAAAGTTTTGATTTGGATTTTTGTATCAAGTCTCAGAGAAACAGAAATAGTTTTTCATTGTTTTTGAGGAAAGTTAATGGTGGAAGTTTTTAAATGGCCATTTTTAAAGCTCTGTGACTTCTTTCCTCAACTAAAATTCTGTGTGCTTCATATCTGGGATTTAATGAGCTTGCCTGACAGCTGGATTGACGGGCAAGATTGTAAGAGTATCAGTAGATTCAGGTCGGTGATCTGTGTAATGCACATCTACTTGGACTTGGTGTCTATGGCACCATGCCAAAAGCTACTTTTTAAAGTGACTTATTTAGGCAAACAGTGAATCACAGAAGTTAAACAATACCTGTGTCAATAACATACTGGTTTTTAAAGAGGCAGCTTAGCCATAAGGCAGTGTAAGTAAACAGAATAGCAAATTGCAGCTATTTCTTGTCCTGTCAGTGTTGCAATAAATCTGGTTATATGTCATCATTCATACAGTTTAAAGCTGCAACATCTAATTAGGCTGCAACGAATTAAGACAGAATTTTCACAAAGTCTGTTGTATGTTATAACTTTACTATTGCAGTTAAGAATTTAAAACCCTTTCTTCAGGGCTCTGGCCACTTCTCCAAGTAAAAGTCAAGCTGGAAATAATTATTGTTGTTTACAGTACAAGTCTCAAACTAGTTCACAGAAATAAGGAAGCATGAGTACCTTCAATCTTCCAAATTCATGCTAAAGAATAGAACCAGTGTGCCCAAGTTTGTGTTGAGATGGTGTAGGCACTGGCAACAACCCTGTTAAAAATTTGAGACATTGTTATGTTGGGGTTGCATTAGTTTCTCCCGTCTTGTTTGTTCCATTGTCTCTAAGCCCCTACTCTCTGTAGCTTCTGTTGTGGAAGGTGTTTGTTTTTTTTCATGGGCAGGCAATTGATATGTGCTGAAAACTGGGACTTCTCTTGTGTCTCCCACTTCATACTGTACTGCCCCACCTTCTGGCCCATTCTAGTTTGAGTTCACCTTCCCTTCTTCTTCTGTCAGATTTTAGTCTGTATGAAGATCGTTAATTAAGAATTGCATCCTATTTCCTCAAAATCAACGGTATTCTTGAATTAGTTGAAACGATTGTATGGAAGCTTAGTGTGCATCAGCTGTGACTAGTATGTTGTCTCTAGCAGACTGGCCTCAACAGAAAAGTGTAGCCTTTCAAAACTGAATTTATACTCCTTGTGGTTTCATTGAAAATGTCTAATACAAACCATTGAACTACTGTCTTCCTGGATCAATAGAGCTTGTGGCTTTCCTTAATAAAAAACACTTAAGCCTAACATGCCAGCATTAAAATGACTTGTAACATCTACGAGATAACTAGGACAAACTTGCCAGATCCATGGGTTACAAACATCCAGACTTGGGTGTGTTGGTAAAGAAAGGAAACTAGAGAATTCTCTCCAATAGGCTCAGCAGATCTGAGGGGTATTTCAAAACTGTATATCCTTGGTAGTGTTTTGAGGGCTCACCCTGCAGCTGTGTGAGAAGCTTAGGTTCTCTGGAAAATTCAATCAGTAGTCTCTTGCTGACAGGTATGAGGTACTGCTTTACAGAGAAAATTACTGAGAAATTATTTTCAGGTACATGAAATCCTAGACATCAAAGAAGAAATTGGGCTTTTAACTGTCATAGTGCTGCAGAAGAGAACAGGCGATACTTGCAGTTTTGCAGAAGGACCCTTTTGTTTGCAGCTGCTGAAAGAGTAAGTTGGAGGGATGCTTTAAAGTGCAACCTTTTAACTTTTCACATTTGCTAATAAATTCATAAAAATTCTTGTCGAAGCCAATGCTGAAAAGACAAAGAAGCTTCAAAATGCCATTGCTCAGGGAACTGGAAATGTTCAGAATGCGCATTCAAGCTTTTTTGTTATGTTATACTTGAAGGAGCCAAAGGTGGGCTAGAATTGGCACCTTACTGATCTGATACTGGGTGAAAAACATCAAGAGTTTCAGAGCCAGCTTGTCTTTCTGAATGTTTTGTGGATGTTTTCTTCTTACTGAATGTGAGCAAATCCAAAGCAGAACAAGAAAATTCCTCCATGACTGCCCACCCTGAATTACCTCAGCAGCTAAGCAAAGTATCTGGAAACTGTTCACAAGTTCTTCAGTAGAATTTTTGTGTGTACTCCTTCTGTTTTGTGACAAGGCATTTAATCTGTTTTAAAATCCTGCTAAATAAAGATGACCCTTTGCCTTTATGTTGAGTAGTAGTATTCTTTGTAAGCCTTTGTGAGGATTATGTTGCTTTCAGTAATGATAAGTTACGCACTGCAGAGGCTGCGGAAAGTTTTGGCATTATAATAGTCTTAAACTTTGTCATCTTAATGAGTGCTTTTTCTCCTAAAAACTTTGCTCCCAGCTGTCTTGCAGTTGCACAAGATGAAGCCCTGTTGGAGCAAGGTGACTCATTGCTGCATAGGCAGACTTTGGGCAGCACTGATGGTGGTGTAGCATGTTGCTGCTAGGAGCCCGTAGAGGACACTGCTTAAGTAGCAGCTTGTGCAAATGGCAGAAGTTAGCCTGACTCACAGGCAGATACAGTTATTTAGCAACTTGCTCAGTACCTTCCTGCATTGGATATGGGAGCTAGGTTTAAAAGAGGATACTCACTGAGGCTTGTGTGCTTTTAAAACAAACAAATACATGTAAACACTTGTATTTCAAAGGCAGTAGTTAGTACAGTACATAGGTCAGCTTGGAGGATAGAATTGCACTTGAAAAAAGGGACTCTGTTCTTTATTACTTTCCAGGCAGAAACACTTTCCTTACTCTTAAAATACAATATATTTTCTAACTGTACTTCTGTAGATTACATATGATTAGTTTGTCTTTTCAAATAGTTTTATTTTCTCAAAGGACTTTTCCAGTTACTTTCAACATCTTTGCTTTGTAAAGGAGCAGTTGGTGGCACGCTTTTCCTGCTTATTTGTGGGCCTCTTCTGTGAAACATCTTCCGTTTTGTAAACTCGCTTTTACACTTCTGTCTGACTTCAGAGATACTGGCTAAGCTGTTTTCCTTGATTTTCCTCCTTTCCTCACTAGGATTTTTAAGGAACTCAATGGCTGTGAATCTTCTTAGTGCTTTGTAATAAGGGGGAAAAGACGTAAAATCCTTGCTAGTCTGAAATTGCTGTGCTTCAGTAGGGTATGTTAAATGGGTGGCAGCACCACAGCGAGGAGGTGCATCAAGGCAGGGCAAGCATGGGGCAGGAGGAGCCAATGGGTGGAAGAGGTTTTTAAAAGCCTGTCCTTTAAACTACTTCTCTTCTAGTTTCCAATGATTATCTGTAATCTTGAATATAGCTGTTTGCTTGTGTTCAGGGAGGGTACTGTGAAACTTACTATACAAAATCTTTTTTGTTACTATCTCAGTTGTTTAATATCTTACCTTCAGAAGGGTCTAGAACACTATCTGCAGCATTGGCTGCAGGATGGGATTATTATAGGATTAAGGGCTGGGCCAGCCAGTGCCCAAGTAAGTGGAAAGTCTCAAGGAGATATGGATCAGTGTCTCAACAAGCTGTGGCTTGTCCTGTTGCAGTATGTACCTGCTTCAGGCTTTCCAGCTCAAATCTGAGTTTATTTTGTGACTTGACTTCAAACTGATGGTTTTATGTCAGGGCTCTAACAATGTTGGAAAATTAGGGCAGAGCATCAGCATAGCTCAAGCCTGAGGGTATCAACAGCTCTTCTGTCATACAGAGTAGTAGAGAATATATATCGCCACAGGGTAAGCAGCGGAGTATCCCAATGTGAAAATATAAGATTAAAAATTGTGGTTTTTTGGTTTTTTTTTTTTTTTTAAAGTGGTGGGAGCTAAGAGAAGCTTTCTTCCATGAAAAGCAAAGCAAAGCCTGTCTTTATTCTTTATTCTTTTTCAAGCTGGATTGAGTCAACAGTAACAGCTTTTGTGCGTAATTGGTCTTTGGACCCAGGTTTTCTTTTCTTCCTCCAGCCAGACAACAGTTCCCTGCAAAAGGGAGAATAAATTGTCAAAAGCTCTTCAGGTTTTGAGAATCTAGCAGTGTACCCACTTGCTATAAAATGTTGATGTCTTTTAGAGGTCTCACTTGTGTCAGATCTTAAGATGAGAGAACTGAAATCCAGATTTCTTGCACCTCTGTTCT